ACCACCGACTATCAGCGAGCTAGGTCGAGCCGTTAGATTTGCTGCGCAGATTATGCATTTCCTCCTAATACTTTAAGTTTAAGGGGGAGGGAATGTTCCCCCTTCTTTTACACCTCTTGACTTGACCTTTGGACCCGCCAGCTTAAACAAGCTACAACGTTTTGACGATCACCCAGAACGTCCGCGAATATCATGACGTACGTCAAGCGCGTTAAGATTTGTGGGCCAACTGTTGACGCACGCCGGACGAACCCACGGCCGGACGCCGGACGCACGCTCATGCGATTCGACAAGGCTGCATCTGACTATGTCAGATGCAGCTAAATACTATGTATATAGGAGGAGAGGGGGAAGTGAGAGAGGGAAGGGGGTGGGGGAGACGGGGTGGAGGAGGGGGAGATCCGAGGAGGGACGTAGGAGGGAGAGGGGGTGGGGAGAGGGTGAGGAAGGAGCAGAGGGAGTGAAGAGAGGAGAGGGGGTGCGGGGAGAGGGGTGGCGGAGAGCGGGAAGAGCGGCGGTGAGGAGAGGCAGTCGAAGGGGAAAGATGGAGTGGGGGAGAGGGGAAGAGGGGGTGGGGAGAGGGGAAAGAGGAGTGGGGAGAGGGAAAGGATTGTGGGGTGAGGGGAGAGGGTGGGGGAAGGGAAAGGGTGGAAGAGGGAGGGGGTGGGGGTGGGGAGGGGAAGTGGGGGGGGAGAGGCAGTGGAGAGGGGAGAGGAGGTGATACCGATGAGAAGCAGGAGAGCTTCTCCACGTCAGTAGGAGGAGGGGAGAAGGGAGGGCGAGAGCGGGAGAGGGGAAGATAGGAGCGAGGGAGGGGAGGGAGAGGGGAGAGAGGAGAGGGAGGATCTAGGGAAGGGGAGAAGGGAGGGACAGGCGAAGAGGAGAGCATGTCGAGGGAGAGCGAGGATTTCATGACAAAGTCCATACAAATAGGGTAAAAGGAGGAGGGTAATAGGCGGAGGGGAAAGAGGAGGGGAGAGGGTGAGATAGAGGAGGAGAGAGGGTGAGATAGAGGAGGGGAAGAGGGTGATGAAAAAGGATGGAGAGGTATGGATGAGGAGGTTGGAGGTGAGATAGAGAGGAGGAGCGGGTGAGATAGAGGAGGGAGAGGTGAGATAGCAGGCAGCGGGAGAGGGTGAGATAGAGGAGGAGGTAGGGTGAGATATAGAGGAGGGAGAGGGTGAGATAGGAGGGGAGAGGCGTGAAGCATAAGAGGAGGGAGAGGTGAATAGAGGCGGCGGGCTAGAGAGTGAGATAGAGCGGAGTAGAGGGTCCAGATAGAGGGTAGGGGAGAGCGAGTAGATAGAGAAGTGAGAGCGGGTGAGCAAGTACGAGGAGGGGAGAGAGTGAGATGAGGAGGGAGAGGGGTGAGATAGAGGCAGGAGAAGAGGCGTGAGATAGAGCGGCGAGAGGGTGAGATAGAGGAGGGGAGAGGGTGAGATCAGAGGAGGGAGAGCGCGTGAGATAGAGGAAGGAGGAGAGGTGAGATAGAGGCAGCGGAAGAGGCGTGAGCTAGAGGGGGGAGAGTGAGATAGAGGAGGGGAGAGAGTGAGATAGAGGAGGAGAGAGGGTGAGATAGAGGGGAGAGGGTGAGATAGAGGAGGGGGAGGCGTGAGATAGAGAGGGGCGATGAGAGTGAGATAAGCGATGAGAGAGGCTGAGATAGAGGGAGAGGGTGGACGATAGACGGAGGGGAGGTGAGGCCCCCAGCTCCGATGAGATAGAGGAGGGAGAGGGTGAGATAGAGGAGGCGAAGAGAGTGAGATAGAGGAGGGGAGAGGGTGAGATAGAGGAGGAGGTGAGACAGAGGGAGCAGGTGAGATGAGAGGGGAGAGGGTAGAGATAGAGCGAGGGGAGAGGGTGAGATAGGAGCAGGAGAGGGCTGAGATGGAGGGCAGAGGCACATAGAGGAGCGAAAGGAGTGAGATAAGCGAGGGGGAAGGGTGAGATAGATGAGGGGAGAGGGGAGAGGTGCAGTCCGGCCCATACCTGACTCCTCGCTCTGGTGGTTAAGCCGCGGTGAGTATGCGGGGCTCCTGTGTCACGCCACAGCCGCCCATTTCTTGTGTCTCCTGCACGCCACTGAATCTGCAGGCGTTTGGATATACTAACCGCCCGACTGCATGGCAGATCGAACGGAAGGGCGAGATCTGCAAGACAATGCGACGACATATTAGGCAACGGAACGCCTAGGATTAGCGGGGAAAGTAGACGGAAGCGACGTGAGAAGCATCTGGAAGGCAAGAGGCAGCTCGTTTAGAAGTAATGCCAAAAAAAGATAAAGAATAGTGTAGCGACACATGGGTGGGTTGTCAAGTATACTGTCACTTATCCGCACGCTTTATCGTGTGTTTTGGCGACACGGTCAAAGCTTTTGTTGAAGAGCAAAATGAACATAAAGATAATGTTAAACATTATGCTCTACCTGATACACAAATTATGTTATCATGGTTCATACAGGACTGAATTTTTTTCAGGAGCGTTTTTCAAAACTTTCAAGACATTTATCGGAAATTCAAGCGACATTTTATCAGACATTTTATGAGAATTCATACACAGAACAACACATAGCTAGATTTAATTTAATAACCCATTCTTAATCACGCATGTCACCCTCTAAAATACTTACCCTGGATCACATTAATAAACCCTTCTAACCTGGTCACTTCTACAACATACCTTGATTTACCTGACTGATTTAGTGACTTACCTGTAATTGTGATCATCATTTAACTGTCTTATGCGTGTCTAGAGCTTTTTAAGGCTTGCATTTAAGCGCAATTATGATCGAGGTTTGCACATTATGCATGGCTACAAAATTTCTTTTTTATTACAGGGCAATGATTCTTTCTAAAATCAAGACATTTCATGAGAATCTTATGACTTTCAAGGACTGCCCCTCAAAATTCAAGAGACTTTTCAAAGACTGTGGCGAACCATTGTTATACTTATAATAAAAATAATATAATCGCTCGCGGGACCGGCGTAAACGTACCTGCTCTACCCGATCTATGGCTTATAGATCCTCGCAGGCCCGATCTTTGCGTTCCTTACAAGCTCGAAGACAGACTTACCGGCTGCAGAGAGGCAGCTTACCACGGCTTCTGGGTTCTCACTCGCTCTCCCTGCTCCAGCCAACACCCGGTGGAAGAGAGAGTCTGCGCTGCGAGAAAGGTGAGTGTGTGTGTGACAATGCGTGACAACATGTGTTGACAACGGGGGCCATAATATGTGTGACAACGTAGCCAATATATGTGCGATAATGATTGACGACATATGTGTGACAATGGTGATGAACCTTACTTTTCCGCTGTTCAGACATAAGTACGTGCACGCACGCAGCACGCAGCGACGATGCACACGCACGCAGCGCCCACGCACGGCATCTCACACACGCACGCTAACGCGCACGCACGCACGGCACACACATACACGCACAGCAGCACGCACGCACGCACACGCACGCACGCACAACAAAGCGCACACACGCAGCGCACACAGCACGCAAGCCACATACATAAAACACGCACACACGTACACGCATGCACGCCACACACGCCCGCACACGCACACGACACACCGCACACACGTACACACGCATCGCCACCGCACACACACACACACTGACCGCATGCACGCACACACGCGGACACACGCACGCAATGCATGCAGTCTGCTGTGAGCGACCCTCACCTTCGTTGAACTCTGCAGAAGCTTGAAAACCTGCGTCGCTGGGTGACGCAACAGGCTCCTTGGGCCGTCATGGCAGGATGAGGGGGCTTGCGCGAACGGCAGCAGGATCTGCCGCCGCAGCACGTGGAACAGGTTCGCACGGCCGTCGTGCAGTTAGGCGACGATCAGTTAGTCTCGTTTCAGCTGGCTGACTCGGCAAAGTGTGTCGCGTCGGCCTTGCCGAGCGAAGAGAGAGAGAACTTGAGAGAGAGAAAGAGGGTTGAGAGGCTAGGAGGGTGAGACGAGAGGAGGGGCGGGTGAGGGCCGAGAGCGAGAAGAGGTAAGAAAGTAGGGAGGGGGGTGAGGGAGGAGCAAGAGAGAGGGTGAGAGAAGAGAGGAGAGGGAGAGAGGGAGCAGAGGTGAGAGGCAGAGGGTTGAGAGAGAGGAGGGTGAGAAGGACGAGTGTGGGAGAGGCGAGAGATAGAGAGAGGGTGGAACATTTTTTGGAACCCCAGCTCGTTTAAGCAAAGTCTGATGTTAAACAGCATACCTTTATCATTTAAAATCGAAGATCCTAGCATATAAAGCCAAAAAAAAAAAAGTCACTACAATTCTTCCAGTGAAAGGGGATTTTGAGGTCACTATGTTAAAAAATGCAGTCGCAAGTAGCACAACTGCACGCCTAACGTCAAACCGCATGACAGCGACATCTCTGTCACCTGTGGTCTGTGTGTGATACGGAGTTACACGGGCGCAAAAGTCGTACAAGGTCACAACTCCCACCACCCCGCGCACCCCCCACACACACACACACATCCACCGCTACATACCGGGTAGTAATCCGGATCATCGTTGCTCAGCTGAAGGAATCGCTCTAGCCTGGCACTCGAGTGTTCCGGGCCCTGGAACCAAGACACGACAAAATCCCAGATCATTCAGAATTCGTCGTAACAACCTGTGATTATCATGCTCAGATAAAGTGTAACTCGGGAGATGAAAGAAAAATAATATAAATAATATAAAAGAAAAAGAAAAGATTATAAATTCACTTATATTTCAGGGCCATTCTCGAGTATTTCGAGCTACCCACCTACAAACCACAGAGAACAAGACGTTTGTCAAGATTTCATCGAGTCCTGTTCAGGCGAACGAGTGTTACACCTTATTGCACACGCACACTATGCACGACACGCAGGCACGCGCGCGCCACACATACGCACGCATCGCAGGCACGCACCCACGCACACACACATACGCACCACTGCAGCACGCACAGCACCGCACCACAGCACCACGGCACGCACGGCACGCACGCACGCATGGCAGCGGCAGTTGCACGCACGCACCGCACGCAACACACACGACACTCACCCAATGCCCTCGTCATCGTGCGGCAGCATCATCACGATCCCGCTCTGCTTCGCCCACTTCGCCTGTCCGCTCGCGATGAACTGGTCAATGATACACTGACACGTGTTCGGGCAATCGTCACCAAACTGCCGCCTCGCGCTAGCATACAGCGCGTCAGTCCCTGGTTGTGCGTGAGTAACCAGCTCAAATCCTGCAACACACACACGTGATACAGTAACATGTAGTATTTTTATTTGTATTGTAAATGTATTTGTATTGTATTTGTATTTCAGTCAGTTCATAGTGTAACGCGATACAGTAACATGACCGGGAGGGGGGGAGGTAGCTGTAATTCGTATTTCTATGTATTGTAATGTATTTGTATTCTTGTACTGTATTTGTTTTGTAATGTTTTGTATTTTTACGGATTTGTATTGTAATCCATCCCCCGCCCCCAACACACACATGTGATAGCAGTAACATGTACGTATTTTTTGTATTGTAATTGTATTTGTATAGTATTTATATTTGTATTGTATTTGTATTTCATTCAGTTTATAGTGTAACGCGATACAGTAACATGACCGGGGGAGGGGGGGGCGGGTTGTAATGTATTTGTACTGTATTTGTATTTGTACAATGTTATCTACTATCTTTACGATGTTACTGAGTGTTAAGACGACACTCACCTAGCATGCCAAACTTGGACAATGAGATGTTACAAATGTCCATGTATTTTGTATTTGTATTTGTATTGTATTGTATTGTATTTGTATTTGTTATCTTCACATGTCGAGTCTCAACTTACACGCTACCGCCGAACTCGACAAATGAGCTATTACAGATGCTGTAGGTGGCCTGGCTGTGAGCGAGATCTCTCAGCGGGATGTAAACTTTAGCATCGACCTCCTGATCGTGCAGCACGTGGTGGCGGTGACTAGAGTCGTGAAACAATAACAATTATAATGCAATTAAACGCCATCATTCCACCCACCATGCACCCATGAAAAACAAAAGAAGCGCATTGCGTGTTTGGGACGCGTTGCTGCGATGTTATTTTCAATTTTTTTAGGTAATTTTTAAAAAGTCGTTAATGTGAAAAGTCGTAAAATAGACCATCGTAAAAACGGGACCTACCTGTATATATATATTATTTATATATATATATATATATACATTGCAGTGCACTATAAAAGTTCGACACTGACATAGAAATGTATCTATGCGAAAAATTCACATTTTCGACCACTAGATAGAGCCACGTGTCCGTGCAGGCGTACCTGAATGTTCCTCTCTCTACATCCTGTCCGCTCAGCCTCACGTGGACATCCTCCAGCAGCAGAGAGCCGAAGGCAAAGAACTCGCCGATGGCCCAGTCAGCAACTCTGTTGTTGATCATCTTCGCTCTGTCCTTGAGCGTCCTTAGCAAAGCTGTCACACGCAGAACGACTACATGTAAGACCACTTACCACGACGCACACACACACGGCACGCACCGCGCGCACGCACCGCACGCACACGCCACGCACGCACGCAGCGCACACACACCACACACACATTGCGAAAACGCACACTTACACACACACAGCGCGCGAAACCGCACGGCGCACACACTTCACTGTATATATATATATAATACTATATATATATATATTACTATATATATATATTATTATATATATAAAAGTCAGTCTTTTCTGAAGAGAATGAGGAATATGGGGGTAGTTAACTACGACACAGCCATGATTCGTTGATTATCGAAGAACGTAGACGCTCATGCAAAATAATTGTGTGCTTTCCTACATACAGAATAAATGTAATTACAAGTAGGAGATTTACAGGGGCACACTTTCCACAATCGGTTGATAACTGATAAGATAGAAGCCTAACAGGTCTTTACAATGGTTGAAAACTACAATGTTTCCCTAAACCACGATGTAATAACATTTTTGTTAAGGAATAATTGGCCAATCAGAAAATACTGAAAATTGGCAAACGTCTCCACGAAAAAGTCTACTTAACAACCCAAACCTTCGTCAGAAATGATTGATTAGAAACAACAAATGAAGGGACATTGATGACAGCTTTACATATACGAAGAGATGTTGGTGACCTGCGTTAATTCACTCTCACCTCTGTGGCAGTTGAAGTTTTCGGGCGGAGTGCTGACCTTGTGACCTATGTCGCAGAGTATGCTCTCGCTCACTCCCGTCCTCGGCATCTTCAGAGGATCCTTGCCCGCGAAGAAACCTCAACACAAGAACGCCCAACATTAGTCCAACACAAGAACGCCCAACGTTAGTCCAACAAGAACGCAACCAGAGCAAAGTGAATGTGAAGAGAGTGGCTACAATAACAGCAGTACACAGTAGACACGCCTAGAGCTTCCAAAATTAGTTGACGCAAGTAAACCAGAGCAAAAAGGAACCGCTCCGATGCATGCCTACAGCTTCACAACGGCACGACATTTCCACAGACACAGAGTTAACACAAAGTGTAGATTGCAGTTGCATATATGTAAGAATGCATAATAACTACTACAGTGGAAACCCGATTTAACGCGAATTCGGATATAACGCGATGAGTCGTTGGACCCCCTTTTTTTTGCTCTTATATAGCCACGTATATATAACCCCGATTTAGCGCGACTCCGCTTTTTTCGCGATGACACTTTATGGACCCCCAACCATCGCGTTATAATGGGGCTACACTGTACAAACGCTGTTGTGTCTACTACACGCAAGAACCACAGGGAGCGCCTCTACATGTACAGCGCGAATCCAGCCATAATGCATTGTACAGCACCGTAACCCACACGCACACATGTTAACACAAACTGTCGATTGAAGTTGAGACACGATTGAGTTACACGTATTAATACGTAATAATTGCTTGAAGCGCGGTAGTGCCTACACGCAATGGGATCGGCTATTAAAGTGTAGATTGCAGTTGAGACATGATTGAGTTACGCGTATTAATACGTAATAACAGCAAGAAGCGTGGTCGTGTCTACACGCCGGGGGATCAGCTATTAAAGTGTAGATTGCAGTTGAGACAGGATTGAGTTACGCGTATTAATACGTAATAACAGCTAGAAGCGTGGTCGTGTCTACAAGCAGGGACCACAGGGTGTCTACACACAGGGAACCCGTCGTGTACCTGTCCAGGGTGAATCGAGCCATATGGCGTTGTAAACGACTGTAGATTTCACGTCATCGTGCGCTTTCTTCAGTATGCTGTCGTAACGATCTTTCTCAGACTGAAAAAACATCAACACGCAATTAGCGTATTGGCGATTAAACATCGATTAATTCACATGGATCACATGGACGTACGCAAACGTCAGCGGTACGTTTCCAATCTTCACGGTTGAGTAAAAATTAACCCTGTTATATATAAACATGGATTAATTTAAGCATGACTGATTTTAATGGTAGTGTTCCCAATCTACATCTGTGACGGATCGCACTCACTCAGCTTACTTCTTAAATGGTCGTTATACAGGTACCGCAAGTATGTTATGTAACTATGGTGATTTACATACGTACTGGTATAGCTGTTGTGGAGACTACTACATACTGCTATCTAACCGCGAACACTACCACTAACCCTCAGCCTACTCCTACCACCTTATATTTACCACCGTGATTCTGACCTCGTGCTCGCCCTCCTACACCTGGAGACTATTCAATACATCCCTGCCCTTGACCCTACTGCTGCAACTCTGACCTTGATCCTACTGCTGCAACCCTAACCCTACCACTACCACTACCACTGTAACCCTAACCCTACCACTACCACTGCAACCCTGACCACTACCACTGCAACCCTGACCCTACCACTACCACTGCAACCCTGACCCTACCACTACCACTGCAACCCTAACCCCACCACTACCACTATAACCCTAACCCTACGACTACCACTGCAACCCTGACCCCACCACTGCCACTGTAACCCTGACCCTACCACTACCACTGTAACCCTAACCCTACGACTACCACTGCAACCCTAACCCCTTCCCTTCCCCCTGTACGTGCGCGTGGAGAGACACTAGAATAGTAAGAGACTACTTACAGTGACCTCCTCCTCTGTGACGGTTCCCTCTGCTATGAGCTTCTCCGTGTACTTGGTGAGTACGTGTTTCGCCTCGGCCACCTTCTTGTACATGAGAGGCTGAGTGAAGCGTGGTTCGTCCACCTCGTTGTGGCCGTGCTTCCTGTAACACACCTGGTACACGGAGGGGCGAGTCAGTGACGGGTATTAGTGTGCGTGCGTGCGTGCGTGCGTGCGTGCGTGCGTGCATGCGTGCAGTGTAACAATTGCACGCAGGCGTGCGTGCAGTGTGACAATTTGTCTCACATTCCAATGAAAGAAACATGGAAAAATTTCAATGCTAAGACTAACGTTAAGACTAATTTTGCTTCTGACAACAGACCCTTGAATGCTAACATTTCAAATATTTAATTCATGTTTAACGACTTAATCAACACTAATGTTAAGACTAACATTAAGACTAATTTTGCTTCTGAGAACGGGCCCCTGGCCTTTACATGCAGGCAGCCACGTTACGGAGGCTACCGTCGCCGCGGCAACCTTTTTCTCGCTCGCCTCATACTCCTTCACTCACCAGATCGATGACGACGTCCTTGTGGAACTTTGCACGCCACTCGGCGGCGACCTTGCACACGTGCATCACGGCCTCAGGGTCGTCTGCGTTGACGTGGAAGATGGGAGCGTTGACAACGCGAGCGACGTCTGTGCAGTACGGAGAGGAGCGAGAGTAGCGCGGGTCCGTCGTGAAACCAATCTAACGAAGCGAGCAGGTGCGCGTGAAAAAATATAAAAATACGCGATGCAATAATGCCAAAATTGCACAATCCAAAAAAACACAAAATAGGCGATTTAAAATATAAAATGCACAAAAAATGAAAAATTATCACAATGTTAAAAATACAAAATACACGATGTAAAAAATAGTAATTATGAAATACAAAAATGTAAAATATGCAATCGACAATGCTCGTCTGGCGCGATAAAGTGTAGAGTAAGTGGTACCCGGCGGAAAAAGGAGGTTACCGGTGGTGCCGGTAAAACTGAAAATATGATTTCACGCCGTAGTTGCTGATAATCGATACCTAGCTAGGAACATCGATGATTGCTTGATGGCTTCGAAAATCCACATTTACCGTGCGGTTACTTATACCAACGTACGGACTCTAACACCGAGGTTACTACCAAGGTTACCACCAAGCTTACCACCAAGGTTACGACCAAGGTTACCACCAAGGTTACAACCAAGGTTAACACCAAGGTTACAACCAAGGTTAACACCAAGGTTACAACCAAGGTTAACACCAAGGTTACAACCAAGGTTACGACCAAGGTTACCACCAAGGTTACGACCAAGGTTACAACCAAGGTTACCACCAAGTTTACCACCAAGGTTACAACCAAGGTTACAACCAAGGTTAACACCAAGGTTACGATCAAGGTTACAACCAAGGTTACCACCAAGGTTACGATTACACGTCTCTCACACACTACTGAATACACAGTTTTAAGATTCACATCGCTTCCGAAAAGAAATCCCAAGGCGCGATCTTAAATTGAATGTGATTCGGGACGAGCATTGGCCGCGAGATTCGACCCACACCTCGCTACCTCACCTGGTTGTTCACGACGATGTGGACGGTGCCCTTGGTAGTGTAGGATGGCAGGTCTGACAGATGGAAGGTCTCGTAGACGATTCCCTGCCCGGAGAATGCTGCATCGCCGTGCAGCAGTATACTCATTACCTGCAGGAGCGGGAATCAATCACCGCATACATGTACATCATCGATAACAGCCGATCAATAACACGGCACGAGCTTCTAATTCACAAGACGGATCGATCGAGCGTAGCTTTTGAATGAATTCTAATCTTTTCTTTTAGAAAATAACACTACTTCAGCTGTTAGCACACTTTCTGTTAAAATATATTCATTTTATTATAGCTGATTGCTCGATATCAAACCAATCAAAACATTTGTCTTTAAAATTTGCAATGTACAGTATGGATAGTGGTGGGTAACTGGGGACAGTTTTGGGAGTTTTCACTTCAATACGTGATCAGATTCATATAAATAAAAGCCCCTTTAACTAAACAAAATGCTGAAATCTACACACACTTGGTCTAACTAAACTGACACATTACATCACAAGGAAAGTTAGGAATATTCTGGATGAATTCTCTAGTTCATACAACTAGATGCATATATAATGTGAACATGATATATGCATCTATGGGCCACGCTGTATGCTCATGATTCACCAATAATTCATGAGCAGTGCTTGATCACACTGGCACTGATAAAAACCATCTCTTCATCCGCGATAACCCTATCTAATCAATATTGTGAATTGCATATGATTAATAAATAATGGCGGCCATGTTTATCCGGTGCTTCCGTTATTCTATTTCGGACTACGTACCTTCGTTCCGTCTTTATCGCCTCGGTAGAACTGTTCTGCATACGTCTTCCCTTGTACCACCGGGTTCACAGCTTGACAAATAAATGCAAAGACAGTTTCATAAAATGCGTTCATCAAGCCGCCACTACTTTCACCATTTAGGTATTTAACATGGCTGCTTTATCAGCTACGCAGCAAATTAACGATCACGCTAGGTCAATTAGGGGCCGAGTTATAGAGCAGAAGGGAAATATGATCAAGGTCAAGGTCAAGGTCAAGGTCAAGGTCAAATAAAAGCCGCAGTGACGTGGTTTTGATACGCGACACACATTTTGCCAAAAATTTCACTTGATCCTGTTCTTTTTTTCTTTCTTTTTTATATATATATTTTGTTCACTTGATCTTGAACAAATGCAAAATCACTTCCAAAGGTTCACGTTTCGCAGGATCATATGATCCGCCCAAAACAAATGCACCCAAAGCATCTTCTTTTTTTTAAATATTCGATAATCTGTGATTCGTAATTAATTTAATTTTGTAATTTCACTACGAGTTACTTCCTTTAATTCGCTAACAATCCGTATGCCTGCGCGGCATGAACAAACGCAAACTGGAGTCCGGAATCGCAAGCATCCATCAGATCAAGCTACATTACCTTCGAGATGCGAGGGGTTAGCAACGACTGCGAGATGGATGTTCTTGTTCGTCGCGTGATTGCGTCGCACCGTCGAGCAACCAAGATGATACTTCACGTCTCCCGACCCCTAAATATATCACAAAATAATGCATTTAAGGATGCAGACAGTATAACTAAGCAAGTAACAGTATCTAGCTAGCAGTCAAAACATAATACAAAATAATACATTACAGACAGTAACAGACAGAATAACTAAGCAAGTAACTGTATCTAGCTAGCTATCCACATAATACATTAGAAAATAATGCATTACAGACAATAACAGACAGTGTACCTAAGCTAGTGCCTGTAACTAGCCAGCTATCCACATAATACATTACAGACAATAACGAAAAGTGTGACCACTAACGCTGAGAGGGTCTATGTCCCCCAGGGTACTATCGGAGGGTACCCTGGGTACGGTTTGATATATCGGAACGTACCCAGGTACTATCTAATATGCCGGACCGTACCTCGCCTACTCCACTAACGAGTCTAGGGAGTCGCCTACGCCTACTCCCCAATCCTAACCCTAACCCTAACCATATCAGATTGTTACCAGGGTACCCTCCAATAGTACCCTGGGGGACATAGACCCTATGAGCCCAAGCAAGAAACAATTTTTATCTAGCCAGCCAAGTAATACATCATAAACAATAACAGACAGTATAACTAAGCAAGTATTTGTATCTACCTCGCCATCCACTACCTACCTACCAACATAATCTGCTAAATATGAGTTGAAAGTTGAGGATTTACAACAATAAAGACCATAAATGGAGGATACAGTTGTAGACGTGATGTAGAATTCATCACGACTTCAACCACACACTTACATCATCTCTGCCAGTAATAGCTTCAAACTGGGAGAAAATGTGCTCGAGAGGCTTCCGCGAAACGTTAGCCAACACGTTCAAGCGCCCTCTGCGAAGAAGACAATCGTACGAATTAGAATTTACGATATCGACAGCCAACAATCTGCCCGAGGGCGTAGCTCTATCAGTGGTTCTATCGTACCCCTGCGAGCGTTAGTACATGAGAAGATACTGTTGTTAGATACAGAAATTCGTTCTTCCTCAACTCAATTCCCTTGACAGCTATAGAAAGGCAGCGTCGTGCGTGTTCCGCCTTAGACCCCTCACCTGTGTGGCATGCCCATGATGTAGCCCCCTCACCTGTGTGGCATGCCTGATGCATAACCCCTCCACCTGCCTGTTCGGCATTGCCCATGATGTAGCCTCCCCTCACCTGTGTTGGATGCCCATGATGTAGCCTTCCCCCTCACCTGTGTGGATCGCCATGATGTAGCATCCCCTCACCTGTGTGGCATGCCCGCATGATGTAGCCTCCCCCTCACCTGTGTGGCATGCCCATGTGCTAACCACCTCACCTGTGTGTGCATGCCATGATGCTAGCCTCCCCCTCACCTGTGTGGCATGCCATAATGTAGCTCCCTCACCTGCTGTTGCATGCCCATGATGTAGCCCCTCACCTGCTGTTGGCATGCCCCATTGATGTAGCCTCCCCCTCACCTGTGATGGCAATGCCATGATGTAGCCTCCCCTCACCTGTGTGGCATCCCATTGATGTAAGCCTCCCCCTCACCTGTGTGAATGCCCATATGTAAGCCTCGCCCCTCACCTGATTGTGGCATGCCATGATGTAGCTCCCTCACCTGTGTGGCATGGCCCGATTGATGTAACCTCCCCTCACCTGTGTGCCATGCCCATGATGATAGCCTCCCCCTCACCTTGTGTGGCATGCCCATGATCTAACCCCTCACCTGTGTGGCAATGCCCGTGATGATGTAGCCTCCCCCTCACCTGTTAGCTGGCATGCCCATGATTGTAGCCTCCCCTCACCTGTGTGGCATGCCCAATGATCTGTAACCTCCCCTCACCTGTGTTGGACGATGCCCATTGATGCTAACCCCATCACCTGTGTGGCATGCCCATGATGTAGCCCCCTCACCTGGGTGTGGCATACCCATGATGTAGCCTTCCCCGTCACCTGTGTGCATTAGCCGTGATGGTAGCCCCCTCACTCTGTGTGGCATGCCCCATGAGTAAACCCACCTCACCTGATGTGGCAATGTCCCATGATGTAGCCCCCTTCACCTGATGTGGCATGCCCAATGATGTAACCTCCCCCTCCAAACCTGTCTGTGGCATCTGCCCATGATGTAGACCCTCACCTGTGTGGCATGCCATGATGTAGCCTCCCCCTCACCTGTGTGGCATGCCCATGATGTAAGCCCCCTCACCTGTGTGTTGGCATTGCCCATGATGTAACCCCCTCACCTGTGTGGCATGCCCATGATGTAACCTCCCCCTCACCTGGTGGCATGCCCATGATGTAGCCTCCCCTCACGCTGTGCTGGCATGCCCCATGATGTAGGCCTCCCCTCACCTTGCTGTGGCATGCCCATGATGTTAGCTCCCTCACCTGTGTGGCATGCCCGATAGATGTAGCCTCCCCTCACCTGTGTGGTGCATGCCCATGATGTAGCCTCTCCCCTCACCTGCTTGTGGCATGCCCATGCATGTGAGCCCTCCCCCTCACCTGTCTGGCATGCCATGATGTAGCCTCCCCCTCACCTGTTGCATGCCCGATGATGGTAGCCTCCCCTCACCTGTGTGGCATGCCCATGATGTAGCCTCCCCCTCACCTGTGTGGCATGCCCATGATGTAGCCCCCTCACCTGTGTGGCATGCCCATGATGTAGCCTCCCCCTCAACCCCTGCCCCGTGTGGCATGCCCATGATGTAAGCTCCCTCACCTGTGTGGCATGCCCATGCATGTAGCCTCCCCTTCACTTGTGGGCATGCCCATGTGGTAGCCTACCCCCTCAACTGTGTGGCATGCCATGATGGTAGCCTCCCCCTCACCTGTGTGGCATGCCCAATTGATGTAGCCCCCTCACCTGATATTGGCCATGCCCATGATGTAGCCCCCCTCACCTGTGTGGCATGCCATTTGATGTAACCCGCCTCACCTGTGTGGCCATGCCATGATGTAGCCTCCCATCACCTGTTTGGCATGCCCATGACTGTAGCCCCCGTTACCTGTGTGGCATTGCCATGAGTGTAACCCTCCCCCTCACCTGTGTGAGCATGCCATGATGTAGCCCCCATTACCTGTGTTGGCCATTGCCCATGAATGTTAACCTCTCCCGCTCACCTGTGTGGCATGCCCATGATGTAGCCCCCTCACCTGTGTGGCATGCCCATGATGTAGCCCCCTCACCTGTGTGGCATGCCCATGATGTAGCCTCCCCCTCACCTGTGTGGCATGCCCATGATGTAGCCCCCTCACCTGTATGGCATGCCACTGATGGTTAGCCCCCTCACCTGTGTGGCCATGCCCATGGATGTAGCCCCCTTACCCTGTGTGGCATGCCCATGATGTAACTCTCCCCTCACCTGTGTTGGCATGCCCGTTGATGTAGGCCCCCACCTGTGTGGCATGCCCCATGATGTAAACCCCTCACCTGGTGTGGCATTGGCCCATGATGTTAGCCCCTTACACTGCTTGTGGCGATGCCCATGATGTAACCTCCCCCTCACCTGTGTGGCCATGCCCATGATGTAGCCTCCCCCTCACCTGTGTGGCATGCCCATGATGTAGCCTCCCCCTCACCTGTGTGGCATGCCCATGATCTGTAGCCTCCCCTCAGCCTTGTGTCGGCATTGCCCGATGCATGTAACCACCCCCTCACCTGATGTGGCATGCCATGATGTAGCCTTCCCCCTCACCTGTGTTGGCATGCATGATGTAAAACCCCCGCTCACCTGTGGCTGGCATGCCATATGTAACCCCCTCACTGTGTGCATGCCATGCATGTAGCCCCCTCACCTGTGTGACATGCCCATGATGTAACCCCCTCACCTGGTGGCATGCCACGATGTGAGCCTCCCCCTCAACCTGTGTGGATTGCCATGAATGTATCCACCCCCTCACTGTGTGGCATGTGCCCATGATGTAAACCCCCTCACCTTGTAGTGGCATGCCCATGATGTAGCCCCTCACCTGTGTGACATGCCATGGATGTAGCCCCTCACTGTGTGGTGCCCATGATGTAGCCCCTTACCTTGTGTGGCAATGCCCATGATGTAGCCCCCTCACCTCTGTGGCATGCCCGATGAGTGTAGCCTCCTCACCTGTGTGACATGTGGCCCTGATGTAACCTCCCCCTCACGCTGTGTGGCATGCCCAATGAATGTAAGCCCCCTCACCTGTATGGCATGCCCATATGTAGCCCCCCTCACCTTGATGTGGCCCATGCCCATGATGTAAGCCCCCTTACCTGGTGTGGCATGCCCATGATGTACACCTCCCCCTCACCTGTGTGCATGCCCATGATGATAGCCTCCCCGCTCAACCTGTGTGGCATGCCCATGATGTAACCCCCTCACCTGTGTGGCATGCCCATGATGTAACCTCCCCCTTCACCTAGTGTGGCTGCCCATGATGTCAGCCCTCAACCTGTGTGGCATTTGCCCGATGGTATGTAACCCCCCTCACCTGTGTGGCTATTGCCCCATGATGTAGCCCCCTCACCTGTTGTCGACATGCCCCATGATGTAACTCCCCCCCTCACTCTTGGCTGTGGCATGCCATATGTAGCCCGCTCACCTGTGTGGCATGCACATGATGTAAGCGCCCCCCCTCAACCTTGGTGCGCATGCCGCATGCATGTAGGCTCCCCTCAACCTGTGTGAGGCATGCCGATGAATGTAGGCCCTTACCCTGCTGTGCGGGCATGCCCAATGATGTAACCCCCTTACCTGATTGTGGCATGCCATGATTGACTTCCCCCTACCTGTTTGTGGCATGCCCATTTGATAGTAAACCCTCCCCCTCACCTCTGTGGCTATGCCATGATGTAACCTCCCCACTCACCTGTGTGGCATGCCCGAATGATGTAACCTCCCTCACCTTGCTGTGGCATGCCCATTGATGTAGCCTCCCGCCTCACCTGTGTGGCATGCCCATGAATGTAACCTCTTCCCTCACCTGTGTGGCATTGCCCATTGCATGTACCCCCTCACCTGTGTGTCATGCATGATGTAACCTCTCACTCACCTGTGTGGCCATTGCATGATGTAGCCCCTCACCTGTGTGGCCATGCCGATGAATGTACCTCTCCCCTTACCTGTGTGGGATGCTCATGATGTAACTCCCTCACCGTGTGTGGCATCCATTGACTGTAGCCTCTCACCTTGTGTGGCATGCCCATGATGTAACCCCGCTCACCTCGTGTGGCATGCCCCATGAGATGTAGCTCCCCCCGTCACCTTGCGTTGGCGATCCCGCAATGCACTCGCTGTTACGCCCTCTCCCTCACTGACTCCGTGGAGTGTCCCATGATGGTATACCGCGGGCTGCCCGCCATCACCTGTGTCAACATGACCAATGATGTACACCCCTCACCTGTGTGCTGCCCCATGATAGTAGCTCCCCTCACCTGTGTGGGCCATGCATCGATGTAACCCCCCTCACCTGTGTGGCATGGCCAATGATGTAGTCCTCCCCGGTCACCGGCGTGGGGTGGGTGTGGCATGACCATGATGTAGAGCTCCCTCACCTGTGATGGCATGCCCATGATGCTAACCTCCGTCACCTGTGTGCATCGCCCATCGATGTAGCCTACCCCCCCTCACCCTGTGTTGGCATGCCCATGATGTAGCCTCCCCCTACCTGTGTGGCGATGCCATGATGATAGCCCCCTCACTGTGTTGCGCATGCCCAATGATGGTAACCTCCCCCTTCACCTGTGTGGCAATGCATGATGTTCTCCCCCTCACCTGATCTNACATACATGCATGGGTGGGGAAGCACAGACATACATGCATGGGTGGGGAAGAGCGACAGACATACATGCATGGGTGGGGAAGCACAGACATACATGCATGGGTGGGGAAGGGTGCACAGACATACATGCATGGGTGGGGAATGCATGTATGTCTGTGCGCCAGTGGGGTGGGGAAGAGTACAGACATACATGCGAGTGGGGTAGGGGAAGAGCGTACAGACATACATGCGAGTGGGGTGGGGAAGGCGTACAGAACTATACATACATGGGGTGGCGAGGGCGTACAGACATTACATGCATGGGTGGGGAAGAGCGCACAGAATACATGCATGGTGGGGAAGCACAGAAAATACATGCATGGGTGGGAAGGCGCACAGACATAACATGCATGGTGGGGTAGAGCGTACGACATAATGCATGGGTGGCGGAAGAGGTACAGACATACATGCATGGGTGGGAAGGGCGCAAGACATACATGCATGGTGGGGAGGGTGCACAGACATTTACCAATGCATCCGGTGGGAAGCACAGACATACATGCATGGTGGTGGCGGAGAGCGCATAGACATACATGCATGGGTGGGGAGGGTGCACAGACTACATTGCATGGGTGGGAAGAGCGTACAGACATACATGCATGGGGTGGGGAAGAGCGTACAACTACTATGCATTGGGTGGGGAAGGGCACAGGACATTACCATGCAATGGGTGGGCGGAAGGGTGCACAGACATACATTGCATGGGTGGGGAGCAGAATCATCTGCATGGTGGGGAAGCACAGACATACATGCTATGGTGTGGGAAGGGCGTTACAGACTACATGCATGGGTGGGGAAAGCGTACAAGACATCATGCATGGGTGGGAAGGGCGTACAGACATATATTGCATGGGAGTGGGGGAAGGGTGCACAGAATACATGCTATGGGTGGGGAAGAGCACACAGACATCATGCATGTGGGGTTGGGGAAGGGTGTACAGACACTAATGCATGTGGAAGGCGCAGACATACATGATGAGGTGGGGAATGGCGCACAGACATACATGCATGGGGTGGGCGAGGGCGTACAGACATAACATGCATGGGTGGGGAAGAGCACCACAGACATACATGCATGGGTGGGGAAGGGCGCACAGACATACATGCATGGGTGTGGGAAGAGCCACACAGAATACTAGCATGGTGGGGAAGGGTGTACAGACATACATGCATGGGTGGCGACAGCACAGACATACATGCATGGGTGGGAAGGCGTGTACAGAATTACATGCATGGGTGCGGGAGCACAGGCATATTATGCCTGGGTGGGGAAGCACAGACATAATGCGATGGGTGGGAAGGGCGCACAGACATACATGCATGGGTGGCGGGAAGCACAGACATAATGCATGGGTGGGAGCACAGATACATGCCATGTGGTGGGGAAGGGCGCACAGACATACATGCATGGGTGGGGAAGGGCGCACAGACATACATGCATGGGTGGGGAAGGGCGCACAGACATACATGCATGGGTGGGGAAGAGCACACAGACATACATGCATGGGTGGGAAGGGTTGTTACAGACTACATTGCATGGAACGCGTGCGGGTGGGAGAGCACATCAGACATACATGGCATGGGTGGGAAGGGTGTACAGCATACATGCATGGGTGGGGAAGGGGCGCACAGGACATACATGCATGCGCGTGGAGGAAGGTGCACAGCAACACTACATGCGATGGGTGGGGAAGAGCGCACAGACATACATGCATGGGTGGGGAAGAGCGCACAGACATACATGCATGGGTGGGGAAGCACAGACATACATGCATGGGTGGGGAAGGGCGCACAGACATACATGCATGGGTGGGGAAGCACAGACATTACTGCATGGCGGTGGGGAAAGGCGCAAGACATACATGCTATGGGTGGAGGGTGCAACAGAACATACATGCATGGGTGGGGAGGGCGCAAGGACATACATGATGAGGTGGGGAAGGGCGGACAGGCATACATGCAGGGTGGGGAGCCGCAGAACATACATGCATTGGAGTGGGGAAGGGTGCACAGCATACATGCATGGGTGGAAGCACAGACATACATGCATGGGTGGGAAGGGTGCACAGAACATACCATGCATTTGGGTGGCGAGGTACAGACATACATGCATGGGTGGCCGCGAAGGCGTGCACAGACTACATGCATGGGTGGGGGTGCCAACCAGACTACATGCATTGGGTGGGGGAAGTACAGACACTACATGCATGGGTGGGGAAGGGTGTACAGACATACATGCATGGGTGGGAAGGTGCACAGACATACATGCATGGTGGGGAAGGGCGTACAGACATACATGCATGGGTGGGGAAGCACAGACATACATGCATGGGTGGGGAAGGGTGTACAGACATACATGCATGGGTGGGGAAGGGCGCACAGACATACATGCATGGGTGGGGAAGGGTGTACATACATAATGCATTGGGGTGGGAAAGGGCTGCACAGAATACATTTGCAGTTGGGTGGGGGAGCCACAGACATACATGATGGGTGGCGAAGGTGTACGAGACATACATGCATGGTCGTGGAAGGGCGCCACAGACATATATGCATGGGTGGGAAGGCGTGTACATACATACATGCATGCGGTGGGCCGAAGGTGCAAGATTACATGCATGGGTGGCGAAGCACAGCATAACATGCATGGGTGGAGAAGGGTGTACAGACATAACATGTGGTGGAAGGTCGTGCACAGACATACATGCATGGGTGGGGAAAGGCGCACAGACATACATGCATGGGTGGGAAAGGCGCACCCAGACATACATGGGGGGCGGGCGGGCCCATGGGTGGGAGGGCGCCACAGACATACATGCATGGGTGGGGACAACAGGCGCTTGCTGGCACAGCACATACATGCATGGGTGGGGAAGAGCCACCAGGACATAATGATGGGTGGGAAGAGCCACAGACATCATTGCATGGGTGGGAAGGCGCCACATACATTACATGCATGGGGGGAAGGGCGCACATACATACATGCCATGGGTGGGAAGAGGCCGTACAGACATACATGCATGGGTGGGAGAAGGGTGCACAGCCATACATGCATGGTGGGGAAGAGCCGACACAGACATACATGCGATGCGGTGGGGAAGGCGCACAGACATATGCCATGGGTGGAAGGGCAGACATCATACATGCAGGGTGGCGGAAGAGCGCACTAGACTTACATGCCATGGGTTTGGGAAGCACATACATACATGCATGGGTTGGGAAGGGCGTACAGGACATTAACATGCATGGGTGTCGGGAAGGGTGTAGAGACTACATGCATGGGTGGGAAGGGCGTACAAGACATAACATGCTGATGGGGTGGGGAAGGGCGTACAGACATACATGCCATGGGGTGGTGCAAGAGCGTACAGACAACATGATGGGGTCTTTTTTTTTTTTTTTTTTTTTTTTTTTTTTTTTTTTTTTTTTTTTTTTTTTTTTTTTTTTATTTGTTCTTTTTGTTTTTTTTTTTTTTCGGAAGGCGTGTAGAGAACATACATGCATGGGTGGGGAAGGGCGTTACAGACATTACATTGCTGGTGGGGAAGCACAGACATACATGCATGGGTGGGAGGGCGCAAGACATCAGTGCATGGGTGGGGAAGGGCGTACAGACATACATGCATGGGTGGGGAAGGGCGTACAGACATACATGCATGGGTGGGGAAGGGCGTACAGACATACATGCATGGGTGGGGAAGGGCGCACAGACATACATGCATGGGTGGGGAAGCACAGACATACATGCATGGGGGAGGTGGCCACAGACACACACACAAGCGCATGGGGTGGGGCGCACTCACACTCCGCGCGCGCACAAAAATACACACGCGCGCATGGACATACACGGCGCGGCCAACATACACGCGCACACACGAACATACACGCGCGCACGAACATACACGCACGCGCGCGTGGTGTGCGTAGCACTTACTCTGCCCTGTTTTGTCTGACCGGTGTTTATAACGACTATCTCACGAATAAATCGTTGGTAAAAACATGTGAAATCCTCACTTTAAACTCACAGCCTTCGAAGTGAAAGATAGACGAGCTAACTACTGGACCACTGAGTTCTGTACACGTTAGTACAGTGGGTATAAGTGAGTACACGTCTACATTGACTGCCGACAGCGCAACCGCGACCCTTGACTGCCACTAACTATCGTGGTTTTCGTGTAACATTCATCAAAAGGCCAAATGCGCCCAATAAAATCATAAGGTCTCCAAAGCCAGGTGACTGCATGACCACGACCTGTACTTAGGTGACTGCATGACACGACCTGTACTTAGGTGAACTGCACTGACCACGACCTGTACTTAGTGGACTGCCTGACCATAGACCTTTACTTAAAAGGTGGCGGGGGGGGGGGGGGGGGGGGGGGGGGGGGGGGGGGGGGGGGGGGGGGGGGGGGGGGGGGGGGGGGGGGGGGGGGGGGGGGGGGGGGGGGGGGGGGGGGGGGGGGGGGGGGGGGGGGTCGCCTGACCACGACCTGCTCTTAAGGTGCTGCTGACCAGCGACCTGGTACTTTAAGGTGACTGCCTGACCACGACCTGTACTCCCCCACTACCCCCACTAAGGTGACTTGCCTGACACGACTTTACTTAAGGTGACTGCCTGACACGACTGTACTTAAGGTGACTGACATGACATGACCTTTACTTAAGGTGACTGCCTGACACGACCTGTACTTAATGGTGACTGCCTGACCAGCTCGTACTTAAGGTGGACTGCCTGACCACAACTTTTACTTAAAGGGGACTGCCTGACACGAACTGCTACTTTAGGGACTGCATGACCGATGAACCTGTACTTAAGGTGACTGCCTGACTACGACCTGCTACTTAAGGTGACTGCGACATTGACCTTTACTTTAAGCTGACTTGCATGACTGGACTTTTTACTAAGCTACTGCTGACTGTTACGACCTGACTTATAGGTTGGACTGCAATGACACGACTGTACTTAAGGTGACTGCCTGACCACGACCTGTTACTTAAGGTGACTGCCTGACCACGACCTGTACTTAAGGTGACTGCCTGACCACGACCTGTACTTAAGGTGACTGCCTGACCACGACCTGTACTTAAGGTGACTGCCCGATCACAGGTCAGATTTCGTGCCACAATCTCCTAAAGGACAAGTATGCTACTGTGGACCTACTGTAATCGAATTGATTGCTAAATTGGGGGCTTTGTTGCGCGTCTACGCCACACGCGTGCACGAACGCGCTACGTTACCGCGTGCGCTCGTAAACGTTGGTGTCCGCTCCTACACTGAATGTGAGATGACAAGGCAGTGCATCTGCATGTAGCTAACTACGTGTAGTCAAGGTATCGTTCACCAGTCTCAGCCACAGAGCACTACACCAGGCTGACCTCTAGTCTACGGACACCGAGGGTGGTCACTGCTACACTGTTTTGCGTCCTCTTATGTGGTTCTTTCGCATCCCTCTTACTGGAGATGGCTATTTTCCATGATCATCCAAACTACTGATCAGTTTTTGTGTCGTCACGATCACCGAAAGGTTAGGCGTGCCTACCGTAATGAAAGGTTAAGCGTGCCTACCGTAATGAAAGGTTAAGCGTGTCTACCGTAATCGAATTAGATACTGAATTCGGGGCAGCTTTGCGACACACTGTGTGAATAGAGAAAACGCCCGTTGGGTCTGCCAAACCAGATTCTTTTTTACAGTTTTGTCTTGTTAGCAATAAAATCTACGGTTTTAATAATATCTTTTATAATTTAATAATATAGTAATAATATCTGTGGTTTTTCTTGGAAATAATCGTGTCTCAGTGGCTCGATGTCCATGCATTTAGAAACGGTTGAATGATAGTTAGAAATGGGAGCTCGAGAAGTCTCCGCTGCCACAGCTGTAATGGCTGATGCTTACTCGTCGACTCAGAGAGTCTGAAAATTCTTACGACCGACTGCAATCAGCTACAAGCTATAATTAGATAAACCTTCAATTACATAGAAGCTACAATTGGCAACCTGCCAAGCCTCGCTGCTAACGAAATACAGTAGCAATCAGAGCTAATGAAGACTCATGACTGTCTAGTGCCACAGTCATTAAAGACTTATCACTTCACATCAGCGGTGCTAAAAAGTAATTGGTCCTGATAATCCGTCGTTGAAAAAATAGTTTGTTTTTGTGCACTTCCAATGAGCCTTTAATGTCAGTTTGAACCAAAACCAACACTTGCCCATAGAAAACGTACAAATTCGACCTCTGCTTATAGCCTGTACCTTAATTAAACAGAAAGGAGAGAAGGCAGGTAAATACCTCAAATACGACTTCTGCTTATAGCCTGCTACTTTAATTAAACAGAAAGGCGGGCGTCATACCTCGAGGCGTTGGATGATTTCTCTGAGCGGCAGCGCGGGCTGGTCCGCACTGATGTAGCAGGACGAAGGAAGCTGGAACACCTTGTCCAGATCGGCTTCCCCTGCATTGCAAGTTTACAGATGTTTCACCGTGCCCCGGGGACAAGACGTGAGCACACACTGTGGACATCCAGTTAAGCTGGGTTTACACTACCGACTTTATGCAGACAAATTGGCGAATTGGACCAACTTCCCAACTATACAACCGACAATCGATCGTCAGCGTAAACGCAAAAGTCGCGCGAGCAACTGGTCAATAGCAACTAGTTGGGAGATTAGAACATGTACTATTTTCACCAACTCAGAGTTGCCGATTGCGAAATTGGTCCAACTCGCCAATTTGACAACATAAAGTCGGTAGTGTAAACCTAGCTTTAAAATTACATCGAATACAGTCAGCAGTAAATCATCACGAATGTAAGGATTTACAAACACGTGTAACACGTGTTTTCACAAATGTGTTTTATTTGCGATTATTTACTTCTGATATGACTACGTGCTGAAAAATACGTGATGTCTTGTTATCCGGAAGTTAATATCATAATCTCTTTCATAGATAACAACTACAATTACTATTTCACAAACTCACAGTAAGGAGCAAATTTCATTCATATACCTTCACACTTACAGATGCACTATTGTCCAAATAACAACATTTTTTACAGTCAGCAACTTAACAAAAGGTCTACAATCAGTAAGGCACGCATATACTTGACGGTTAACATCATATTATTAATATTAAATTTTAGGTGATATTAACGATCAAGCTATAATCAAAACTGTTATTCACAGATTAGCACAAAATCTTTTGAAAGACTGTTTATAGATTATGACTCAAAAAATGTTTAGTAACATTTACAAGTTACAACCTGGACTTTTGAATGTTTATGACTTTTAGACATTTGAGCCAAAGTGCAGAAGCTTAAAGATTATCAACATCACATGCCCAAGTCATAGTTGCATTATGTTAATGAATTTATTAGCACTTTTTAACACTATGCTTACCTTATTTGCCGCTTCTGGACTAGAATACACCCAAATTAGTTGATTCTAATAAGTTATCGCTACACACACACACCCGTACACGCTAACCACTCGTTAGTTTAGGTTAGATTTCAATCAAAACAGAACAGCTAACGATGAAAAAACGTGCGATTTCAACGCTTCGACTGCATCGCCGACCGCGTCACGCACTCCCGTACACACTAACCGCTTAGTTAGTAATTAAGCTACGTTAGATTAGGTGAACGTTGTTAGAAACAACGAAAGAACAAAAAAACACGGGATTTCAAAGCTTCGACGGCGTCGCCACGGTTACGGTCGTCGTGGTTACGGTCGTCGCGGTTACGGTCGTAGTTACCGAAGCTGTGTGTGCTGATCTGAAGCTCGCGAGGCACACCTTCCTGAAGGTCAGCATTGTTGATGCCCAGCGGGTCAAGGTCGGCTACGTTATGACCCCGAATCTGGCGAAAACAAATTCCGTGTACAGCGATAGCGGCGGCGGGGGAAGCGCGACTGGCGCGTCGCCGATTCAGAAGAACAAGAGAGCAGTCGGTCTGCTATCGGGGTTTTCTCTCGTGTTCCCGGTAGAGGTGGCACAGAGAGGGATCGATCCTGCTTCCCGGACCTGTAGG